GGGCCCAAACACGCATTCCACAGGCCTTCCCTCTGCGGGAACAGGAGTGAGGACACAGGCGCTCAGCATGGCAGGATGGGAACAGGAAGGTCTGGTGAGCACTGTGACCATTAGGATGGGGCTACAGGAGACAGAGGTGACAGTGAGCTACTGAAGAGGCAGGAGGAGGCAAGGAGGGCAGGGTGTTCTGGGGTGCCAGCTCAGACAAGGCTCCAAGGAGTGAGTGCGTGCTCAGGAGGACGGGGGACCAGGGCCTGGGGTAAGGGGCAGGCGCCCAGGAACTCTAGCATGGCAGGGAACAGGGGGTAGTCCCAGGAGATCCAGATGCAGGGGCTGACACCGCAAAGTTCTTTCCTGTAAAGCACAGCCTGAGGCCTGGGGCTTGGCCCTGCGCAGAGGAAGCCCCCCTTAGATCTGCCTCGGCAGTAGTGAGGAAACGGCACACACAGACCCCACACAGCCGGAGGAGACAGGGGTCAAATGCAAGAGAGAGAAGCTCCCTCGTGAGGGGCCCTCCCCTGCCTCGCCTTCCTGGCGGGCAGCCTGCTTTCCAGCACACGTGGTGGACCAGCCCACATTAGGTCAAAGTGTTAAAAATAGCTGGAGGGCTCAATATGTGTGGGGGGTATGGGAGGTGCTGAAGGAGGGCCCAGGACAATTGGGAAGGAGGAAGGGCCCGTGGGGCTGGGGCTGGCACAGTGGCTCCTGTGGGTGCAGCAGCTCCGGGACATGCTCACCTCACCTCGGCTTTGTAAACCACAAGGCCGTGGGAGTCCCCTCTCCCTCAAATGCCTCTGCCTCTGCCAACGTGTGGCTGAGAGTGCACCCCAGTTCTCTTTGACCACCCCAGGCAGTCCCAGTCCACAGAGAGCAGCTGTTGCCCTTCCCTCTCCTGCCTCCTGACCTAGGAACCCACAGAGCTGGGCCTGTCATCACATTTGTGGGGCCACAGCTGACCTGGGAACTCCCTTCCTCAGTCAGCCCACAAATATTTACCCAGAGCCTCACCGTGCTCAGTGACCTTTACAAAACATAAAGTGCAGAGTCCCGTGCCAGGGGACAGCGATTCCAGGCAAAACAGACTGAAATCCTTCCCTCGAGGAGATCAAGTTCGGGGGGTGCTTTACAGCCGTGGTCAGGAGGCTGGCTGGGTGGTGACCTTGGGGCAGAGCCTGAAGGAGCAGTGGGGGTGGACTAGGCAGCAACTGGGTGAAGAGTGTTCCAGGAAAAACTACATTGTCAGAATCAAGAGATGTTAAGGCCGAGAGGAGCCTCAAAATGGAGGAAGCAAGGCTGGGTGCGGTGGCCTGCCCTGGTCACATGAGAGATGGGGGCAGAGCAGGCCAGAGCCTCACAGGAAGAGGCCGGTTAGAGTTAGGGGTGGGACCCAGCTTATGTTTCCTGCCTTGGCTACAAGGCATGAAAGACGGGCTCCCCGCCAGCACACAGTGACACTGCAGTTTCCAGACCCAGGCCCTGAGCTGAGGGGCCTCAGTGCTCAGAAAGGGCCTAGGCCTCAGATCTCTGGTGAGCAGGGAGCCCAGAATGGCCCTGGAGGCCACAGCTCCAGAACTGGGCCCATGGAGAATGGAGGGCTGGGGCCCTGCACATTCTCAAGCAGTAGTAGCAACACTGTCATTGTTCTGCCCTTGGTATAAGCCCGAAGCACCACCCTTTCTTACCCAGCTCCTGCTCCCCTTTTCCAGGGGCTCCTATGGGAAAACCCAGGTACTTCCTGGGACTGGTCTGTCTATATGTTTGGAAACCACAGAGCTGACTTGGCTTCACAACAAGATGTGGGGGCCAGGCACCCAGGAGACCAGTGATCCTGACTGGCAATAGACGCAAGAAAGGGCTTGGAGACAGAGCCAGGCGCTGTGGCTACCCATGTAATACCAGCACTTTCGGAGGTCGAGGCAGGTAGATCACTTGAGGCCAGGAGTTTGAGATCAACCTGGCCAACATGGTGAAACCTTGTCTCTACTAGAAATACAAAAAAGAAAATTAGCCAGCGTGGTGGTGTAAGCCTGTAATCCCAGCTACTCGGGAGGCTGAGACAGGAAAATCGCTTGAACCCAGGAGGTGGAGGGTGCAGTGAGCCGAGATCACACCATTGCACTCTAACCTGGGCAACAGAGTAAGACTCCATCAAAAAAAAGAAAAGAAAGAAAGGCCTTGGAGACAGGGCGCTGACCCTGGAATCCAGATGTTGCCAAAGCAGCCCCCCCTTCTGTTCCTCTGCCTGTCTGGGAAGCAGCAGGCGGTGGCCACCCACCCGGGCAGGGTGGGGCCTTCACCACCCAGCCCCACCCCGGAATCCAAGGGCCTCTGTTTGCTGCTGTTTTCTGGAACAACTTGTTTTGATCTAGAGGAATCTGCTGACACCAGCCTCCCTGCTCTCGCCCTCCAGCAGGGCAGAGGTATTTTTAGACTTATTTGAAGAAGAAGAGAGCAGAACCCAGGTCCAATGTGTACCCTTCTTACTGTGGGCACAGCTTTGGCCCCTTAAGGCAGGACAGAGATACCCATGTGGTTGTCTACCCTCAGCTCATCTCTCCTTAAATACGTTCCTTTCCTGAGAAAAATGAACTGTGTGGAAATTGGAGGCCAGCAAAGCTTCTACATAAGGACCCTCTGAAACAGTGCCCTTTTATCCTCAAAAACCCAGGGTGGCAGAGGCAGCTCCAGACACAAGGGCACAAAAGAGCCTTGGTTCCCTTTGTGACAGGGAAGCCCATGCTTTACAGAATCCTATGCTTTGTATGTCAATAATTCTCCCTACTTAAGAAAGAAAATACATACATATATACAAATATCAGAAAGGGTCTCACTGTATTGGCCAGCCTGGAGTGCAGTGGCACAATCCTAGCTCACTGTAGCCTCAAACTCCTAGGCTCAAGAGATCCTGCTGCCTCAGTCTCCCCAATAGCTGTGACTACAGGCAGTCATGTGCACCTGGCCTTTTTTTTTTTTTTTTTTTTTTTTTTTTTTTGTCCAGACAGGGTCTTGCTGTGTTTCCCAGGCTGGTTTCAAACTCCTGGCCTCTAGGCAATCCTCCCACCTTGGCCTTCAAAAGCAATTGGATCCCACTCTTTTTTGAAAAATAAAATCTACCATAGTTTGTTTCTGGGATTTGGGAATGATGTGTGTGAATTAGAGAGATTTTGAGACCTGAGATAGAGAAAAGCAAGTTAAGACATCAACTAGGGCCCGGAAACAGCACTACAGTGGGGATGACCCACCTCTCAGGTGCCTGGAGAGATAAAAGAAAGGCCTGGCTGACTCCACCGCCCAGTACTGTGAAGCAGCAGGGGAGTCACTCCATAGGTTTCATAAGCTGCCCAGCTTTCTAGAACATTCTGACAGACAATTCCCTCTTTCCACACGGTTCTTTCAGGCCAAATCACCCCACCCCAACCCACCCTGGGAGATATACTCAGGAGGAGACCGATGGGGCAGATCCTGGAGGAGGCCGCACTGCCGGAATCTTCCCCCGGCAGAGAAACAGGGCTAAGCAGCCGCCAGGGAGCAAGCCTGGGCTTGCCACATCACCACCTTCTGTGCTGAAGGTCAGATGACACACAGTCACCAGTTTTCCGAGAAGCACAGGGAGGGGTGCATGTCGGGCCCAGCCCTGCCTGCTGATGCCACCTCACAGACGCAGGCGAAATGTCATCAGCTTCCTCCCGGTTGCCAAGGGAGCCTGTTTTTAGGGGGTTGTTTTGTATGGGGTGTGGGTGTTAACCAGGGAGAGGTTCCTGGCAAGGAGTTCCTGTCAGATCCCATTTTCCGTTCTGGTTACTTGGACCGGGGTTCTTTTTCTACCTCTACCTCAGGGGCCAGGGCTTCCTCATCACCCTGCACCCCCTAGCAAGGGAGGCGCCCGCTACACGGTCCAAAGTCCTCTTCAGACTTTCGGGTCCTGCCCGCCTTGGTGGAGGGCTCAAGAGTTCACCAGGTTTGCTTCCAGAAGAGCCAGGCTGGGGGTGCCTGCTTGCAAATGCCGCAGATAAATAAACAAATAACCTTTCTCCCCATCCCCACCCAAATGTAAAATGAGGCGACAGCCGGTCCCTCGGCTATGACAGATACTGCTTTCCGCACAAAATCTTCGTTTTACATTATTTTGCAACGGCCTTTTCCCACTGAATCCATCCTGAACACACTTCTTGAATGTTCTACCCCGTCAGGGATGCGCGTTCTTAGGAAACACGTCCCCTCGCCAGGCCCCTGGGAACAGTCACAACCACGACGCCTGTCCCCGAAGCGCCCGCGCAGCTCCACGGGATTCCATGTTGTCACCCACTGGATCCTGGACGCCATCAGCCCGCAGCAGGGTTTCCAGACCACAGAAACCGCCTGTTGGGGTGCGGGGCGTTACACGTCCCCTCGCAGCGCCCCGCTGGGCTGCTGGGCTGCTGGGCTGCTGGGCTGCTGGGCCGCCCCGCCCCCACCCCGCGCCCGGACGCTGACGTCACCGGCCGAGCCAGACTCGGAGCCGCCGCCCGAGAGTCACGCGCGCCTCCCGGCAGGACGCGCCCTCTGCAGAGATCCCTCCGCCGCCGCCTGGAATTTTCCAGACGTCCTGCCGGCCCTTCTTTCGGGCCTCGTCGGGGCGTGGTGACCTGAGGCGACCCCGGCGGCTCCCGTCGCCCACTTAGGAGGGCGCCCCCGCCCGCCTCTCCCGAGCCCCTCTCTCTGGGAAGCGCGTCCCGCCAGACCCCAACACCCAGGAAGAAAGTCGTCTTCGTCATGGCATCCGCCTTCCAAATGTCACCTTGAGCGCTGTCCGCGATCCCAAAAAGCACTGCTAAGGAGAAGCGGGGATAAACTGGGGTCCTTGCGTCGGGGGCGCCTGGGAGACCATGCACCGCCCGGGTCGTCTCCCCGGGCCGGGCCGGGTCGGGGAGGGACTTTTTTTCCGGTGTGGCCGTGGAGGAATCGTCCCGTTGAACAGTGACCCCGGTGACGCGGCCGAGGGCTATAAAAGCAAAAGTTGTGGCCGGTCCAGCAGAAGTTAGCGATAGGGAGGGATGCGCACTTGGGTGTAGTTGTGGGGGGAGGAAGTGACCAGTTCAGGGCCTCGGGACAGACAGGGAGAGATGATTGAGTTAGATGAGACTGGGGGCCCTGGGGGTACGAGAAGGAAGCTTGACAAGGAGACTAGGTCTGAAGAAACCACAGTGGGGCAGGCTGCGTGGTGGAAAATGCCCGCAGGAGCCCCCAGAGAGGACAGCCATGCTCCAGGCCAGGCTGTCCCTACTGCCTGCTGGAGGGGGAACTTGACCTCTGGGAGGGAGCCGCTCTTGCATGGCTGAGCGAGCCCCCGTGCGCTGGTCTGTGTGGAAGGAGGAAGGCAGGGAGAGGTAGAAGGGGTGGAGGAGTCACGAGGAATGAATGGGCCGCTGCGGCCCTGGAAACGATCAGGAAGGCAGGCAGTGGGTGCAGGGCTGCAGAAGGGCCGGGAGGGCCGAGCTTCAACATGTCCATGCCAGCAGCCCCTTTTTTTCCAGACCAAGGGCTGTGAACCCGCCTGGGGATGAGGCCTGGTCTTGTGGAACTGAACTTAGCTCGGCGGGGCTGACCGCTCTGGCCCAGGGTGGTATGTAATTTTCGCTCGGCCTGGGACAGGGCCCAGGCCGGGCCCAGCCTGGTGGAGCGTCCAGGTCTGGGAGCGAAGCCAGGCCCCTGGGCGGAGGTGAGGGGTGGTCTGAGGCGTGATGTGGAGTTAAGGCGCCATGCTCACTGGTGACTGGTGCAGCACCTAGCATGTTTGACAGGCGGGGACTGCGAGGCACGCTGCTGGGGTGTTGGGACAACATTGACCAACGCTTTATTTTCCAGGTGGCAGTGCTCCTTTTGGACTTTTCTCTAGGTTTGGCGCTAAACTCTTCTGTGAGCTCACTCCACCCCTCCTCCTCCCTTTAACTTACCCATTCACTTAAAACATTACCTGGTCGTCTGGTAAGCCCGGGACAGTAGCCGAGTGGCTTTTGGAGTCGGTATTGTTGGTAATGGTGGAGAAAGCGAGGCCTTCCCGCTGAGGCTGGGGTGGGGCGGATCGGTGTTGCTTGCCTGCAGAGGGGGTGGGGAGTGAATGTGCACCCTGGGTGGGCCTGCAGCCATCCAGCTGAAAGTCACAAAAATGCCTCATAGACCGTGGTTTGTTACTATAGTGTTCCTCATGGCGAGCAGATGGAACCGGGAGACATGGAGCCCCTGGCCAGTGTGAGTCCTAGCAGTGCAGGAGGGGAGACCATGGAGGAGAGAGCCCGCCTCAATTGATGCCTGCAGATTGAATTTCCAGAGGCTTAGGAGGAGGAAGTTCTCCAATGTCGTGTTTCCAGGCCTTGCTGGGGAAGCCCTGTATTCAGGAGGCTACCATTTAAAGTTTTCAGATGAGCTTATGGGGGGCAATCTTAAAATATCCACAGCAGATGCATCCGGCTCGAGGGGCCATCAGCTTTGAATAAATGCTTGTTCCAGAGCCCATGAATGCCAGCAGGCACCCCTCCTTTCCTGGGGTAAAGGTTTTCAGATGCTGCGTCTTCTAAATTGAGCCTCCGGTCATACTAGTTCTGTGCTTGGAACCTTGCTTCAAGAAGATCCCTAAGCTGTAGAACATTTTAACGTTGATGCCACAACGCAGATTGATGCCTTATAGATGGAGCTTGCAGATGGAGTCCCGTGACCTCTCATCTACCCCCCCTGTTTGCCTGCCTGCCTATGCGTTGCTCGGAGAAGTTCTTAGCCTGATGAAATAACTTGGGGTGTTGGAAAGCTGTTTAATTTTAAATGCCTTAGACGGGGGATGTATTAGAGGAAGCAGATTGTCAAGAGTGTCATTGTGTTATGCTAAACTCTGGGAGGGTACAAATTGGTCATTCCCAAATCTGTGTGTGAAAAATGGCAGGTCTAGTTTGGGCATTGTGATTACATTGCAGATTACTAAGAGAAGGTAATGGTGGGTATACCGGTAGTGCTCTTTTGTTCTTGCTTCGTTTTTTTGCACCTGAACTTCGTTAGATTTCATAATGCTTTTTTGGCATTCTAATAAGAGGACCCTGAGGTAGGAGTTGTGGGAGACCGGGAGAAGGGGACAGCTTGGCACTGGTCACGTGGGAGTTGCAGTGTGGGGGATGGGGGTGTGCAGCTTGGCACTGGTACTGGGAGGGATGAAGGTGAAGGAGAGAGGGTTGATTAGGTATATAGTGTGGGTGGTAGGAAATGCAGGTTGAAGGGAAATTCTCTGGGGCTTTGGGGAGTTTTGTGCGGTGGGTGAGCCAAGAAAATACTAATTAATAATAGTAAGTGTTGGTTAAGTTGTTGCTTGGAAGTGAAAAGTTGCTTAGAAAGCTTAGAACTTTAAGTGCAAAAAAAAAGAAAAGAAAAAAACCCAAAACAATTGTTTTGCTTTGCTGCAAGGTGGGGAAGACTGAAAAAGTGTAACCGAAAACAGATGACACAGAGTCACCCGTTTTCCGAGAACCCACAGGGAGGGGTGTATGATGCCATCTCACAGGCAGGGCAAGTGTCTTTACCAGCTTCCTCCCGGTGACAAGGCAGCCTGTTTTAGAGGGTTGTTTTGTTTGGGGTGTGGGTGTTATCAAGTGAATTAATCACTAGAAAGATGGGTGTCAGACTTGTAGACACAGCAGATCGGCATCCTTCACTGCCCCTTAGCAACTTAGGTGGTCAATCTGAAGCTGTGAAGGTGTGATTTTTCAGGAGCTGGAAGTCTTAGAAAAACCTTGTAAATGCCTACATTGTGGGCTTTTGACATATTTAAGGGACCGCTTAAGACGAGATTAGATGGGCTCCTCTGGATTTGTAACTCATTTGTCACAGATACCTTGTGATTGAAAATCGTGAGTGAAGTGAAATTGCAGTGCATTTCAAGGGAATTTTGTATGTAAATCGTGCCTTAGAAACACTTCTGTTGTCTTTTCTGTGTTTGGTCGATATTAATAATGGCAAAATTTTTACCTACCTATATCTTCAAATCGTAGTCTTTGTAACAAGAACCAAATAACCTTTTGTGGTCACTGTAAAATTAATACTTGGTAGCAGACAGAATCCATGTACCTTTGCTAAGGTTAGAATGAATAATTTATTGTATTTTTAGTTTGAATGTTTGTGCTTTATAAATGATCCAAGGCTAGAGGGGAAGCTATCACATAAAATCCATGTGGAAAACAAGAGCTAAAAAGGAAAGGGGATGGGGATTGTGGGGAGGGAGTGGGTGAGGTGCCTTTACTACATGTGTGATCTGAAAAACCTGCTTGGTAATGAGCTGCGGTATTGAATTGGTAAAGTAATACCAATGGCCTTTTATCATTTCCTTCTTCCCTTTAAATTTCACTTAAAATTTTTAAAATCATGGTTATTTTTATCCTTGGGATCTTTCTGTCTTCTGGGTTCTGTTTTTTAAATGTTTAAAAATATGTTGACATGGTAGTTTAGTTCTTAACCAGTGACTTGGGGATGATGCAAACATCCTGTTGTTGGGATTTAGAGTGTATTACTCATGCATGTATGGGGAAATAGTCTCCGGTATGCTGTTGTGAAATTGAAACTGTAAAAGTAGATGGTTAAAAGTACTGGTGTGTTGCTCTGTATGGTAAGAACTAATTCTGTTACGTCATGTACGTAATTACTAATCATTTTTCTTCCACTTTACAGCACAAATAAAGGTTTGAGTTCTAAACTCATGAGAATTGTTGTATTGCTATGTTACATTTCTCGACCCCTATCACATTGCCTTCATAAGGAAGTTGTGGATATATCTTCATATTGTAGATTTAGGTCTAGATTTGCTAGCTCCAAGTAATTAATGCCATGCACAGATAGAACTGCTATTATCCCAAGTGGTCTGCAGACTGCTGGGTGGGGAGGGTATCTCTTGGGAGTTGGTAATGATTTGTATGAAATGTGATGAACCACTGAAGCCAGTGAAGGTGGGTGTGTGTAGGTGGGGAGTACTTTGCCATAATATTTTAAAACATTACCTGGTTAGAGTTCTAAGTGGTACTTATTTTTGTTTGGTTAGGGGAAAGTCTGAATAAAAACAGAAATGGACACATAATATGTATATTCCATAGTCTTTGGGAGGCTGGAATGTGTCTGGGATTTGGGTCTAAGTATATGTGTAATTCTTATCTCACTAAAGAATTTGGCTTTTTTCTTTTGTTGAGTGACTAAAACGTCTGGGCTTCCCTGTGTGTGCGCTACACTAAGCAAGCAGAGGCTATGCAAAGGTGTGAGCAGAAGCACATGGAATCTGGAGGGTACATCTTGGCTTGCAAACTGCCTCTGTGTCCTGGGTGGGACTGTTATGTCCTTGCACTGCTGTTCGGTGTTACCTCTTGGGGTGTAAGGTTTATGCTTACAGGAGACAAACATTGGGCATAAAATGGAAGCCACTGCCAGCCTCTGTGCTGAGAAGGAAGGTGCTTGCTTCAAAGGGAGCAGCAAGGGAGGCTTGTTCTACTCATCTGGGCGTGTTGGCCTGAGAAGGGGAGATAAGGGCTGAACTGGGACTAGCCAGGGGGACCAACACAAATGGTGGGGGATCATGACCTGAAGGATTCTTTCCTTCTCATGAGCTGCGGGACTGGCTGCCGTCCTTACAACTGTGTCTTATTTGCCTGTGCCGTTGTATCTGGGTGACCCCTCCACGTGTACACTACTGACAAATGGGTTGAGTGCTGGAAAGAAGTCACTGAGCCACCCACCCAGTAAACCTGTCTCTGCTCATGGCACCGCCAGAATGGGGCACTGCTGTGTGCAGGGTCCAGGGCCCTCTTCCTGCTTGCCACTCCTTTCCCTGGATGCCCCAGAAACAATCCAGGCCTCCTTTCCTATCTTACCCCTTTGCTTTGCTTTTACCCCAGCACCTCTATAACCACCCTGTCTTCTTTTCAGAACTCCTTGTTTCTCCTCTTGTTTTTTATGATTATTACAAAACTGTTGCTTCCACCCTGGAAGATAACTGCTATAGATGCCTCTGTGTAAATGGCCAGGCGCGGTGGCTCAAGCCTGTAATCCCAGCACTTTGGGAGGCTGAGACGGGCGGATCACAAGGTCAGGAGATCAAGACCATCCTGGCTAACACGGTGAAACCCCGTCTCTACTAAAAAATACAAAAAACTAGCTGGGCGAGGTGGCGGGCACCTGTGGTCCCAGCTACTCGGGAGGCTGAGGCAGGAGAATGGCGTAAACCCGGGAGGCAGAGCTTGCAGTGAGCTGAGATCCGGCCACTGCACTCCAGCCTGGGCGACAGAGCGAGACTCTGTCTCAAAAAAAAAAAAAAAAAAAAATTGATTCACAGGGTATAAATGTTGGGGATTGGAAGTGGGGATGAAATGGCACTTGTTGACACAGGAGCAGAGAGGTGAGGCTGACTGCTGAAGACAGCTCGCCACCCTCCTTGCCTCCACTCCAGTCCAGGGGCTGGGGCCACATTCTTTGCAATTATCCTCAGATCAAGTGAGATCAACAGGAGGTGTTGATGGCAGTGCCAGCAATTATTGCTAATCAGTTTGCATCCTTATGCATAGATCTGAATTCAGACTTTCTGTGAATTCCAGAGGTGTGGGTAATATAATGGAATTCAGTGAGCGAGCATGGCTGATCTTGTGCAAATTGAAAGTTACGGGGCATAAGAATAGCAAAAGTTGAACTTGAACTTCTTTTAAAAAGGAAAGGACCCTGAGAGCCGGTATTGGTTGAGGCTCATCAGTATGCCCAGGTTGGCGACAATGAGAACTGCAGGAACGGCCTGTGTTACAAAAAGGAGATTGACTCAGCTGCCCTCGGTGCATCCTATTGAGTGTGACTCTTAAGGGATTCCAAGGACCCTTAATGCCAGGGCTAACTCTCCATGTACGGTGAGGCCTCTGGAGGAAGTGTTACCCTCTGGCTCTGTGTGCTACTCGTTACGGTGCAGTGCTGGCATGAAATGAAGACATGCCCAAATAGGCTTTCAGATGTTTATGATGTGTTTTAAATGTTCATATTTAACAAACAAAAACATACTGATGCTGTTTGGAAATGGCAACAGGAAGATAGCAAAATGAACACTAACATTATGAAAAAATGAGCAGGTATGTGTTCCAAGGCAGGTGACTGTGACCTTCCTCTGAGTGAGGACATCCCCTCCAGCACCTTCCAGCCTGCTGGTTAGGATGACCCGCCACCACCCTCCAGGACCCCCAGCCCTGCACTGCCTTTCCTCTCTTAAATAATTCTTCATTGAGTTCTAATATGCTAAAAAAAAAAAAAAAAAAGTTTACTGTAAAGTTTGCAAATAAGGAAATTTTTTTTAAAAGTCCTCAGTAATCTTACCATTAACAATCGTTATGGGCATATTTGCTTTTGGAGGATTTCTTTTGTATGCATGGGATAAGTACATTTTTATACAAAAATGGGATTATGCCATAAATTCTATTTTGTGACTAGTATATAGTGAACACCTTCTTTTAATGATGACAGGATGTTCCCTTGCATGGCTTTATCAATTTAAACAATCTTGATTCAGTGGACATACAGGGTATTTTCTAGGTTTTTTTTTCCTCTTAGTAAATAATACTTGGGATGACTTGTAGCTCAGACTTTTTCACATCTGTTGTCTCTTTGGGAATGCTAAATACATTTCGAGAAGGAAATGACTCTGTTAAACTCTTAAGACTTCAGGTTCATATTGCTGAACTGCTCACCAGGGAGGGATTTTTTTCAATTAGTGTTCTCACTAGTGAGGCAAACCTGATGCCTTCCCCTCTTCCTCAGAACGGGCTTTATCACATTGAAAACTTTGCTCCTCCAGTGGATCGAGTCTGCTTTCCCTGTGGGTGTGAGCATTGCTTTGTCTGCTGGCGATTGAACATCTCTACCATATGTTGATTGACCATTTGTGGTGTGTGTGCGTGTGTGTATGATTTTCGAATTCCTAGTCATTTTTCTATTGGTTGTTTTGTAAAAGCTATTTACATCTTAAGGATATTAATAATATTTTGTTATATTTGATGCAAATATTTTTTCCAGCTTATAGATTGCGTTTTAATTTTGTGTTTCAGATAGATAAAAGTTACATGATTTTCTGAGGATAGTTCATCACTGTGGTTTCTGAACTTGTTATGTATAGATTTTTTCCACCCCAAGAGTATATAAATCTTAATCCATACTTTCTTGTGGAACTTGTATGGTTTCGTTTTTTTACATTTAAACCTTATTCCCTGTGGAGTGTGCTGTGGAGTCTGTGTGTGAGGAGGGGCATGGTGCTCTCAGAGCCCACCTCCTGTGACCAGAGAGCGCTGTCCTGTGAGGGTTGTTGTCACAGTGGGAGGGTTCACTGCAGAAGACCTCGAGGGCAGGCTGGTGTTTCCTGAATGGGCCTCTGGTTGTTGCTCGTCCCTGACTCTGTTTCCCCATCTGAGTAGATTTGGACCTAATAGGGCACTGGAACTGGTTCGAATCCTGACTGGACTACTTGGCAACTTTATGTCTGGGAGCAAGTTACTTAACCTCCCCGAGCCTGTGTCTGTGAAATGCGAGTAAATGAATGTAGATGTTTGGCAGCAGCTACTCCTTGTTGAGCTCTCACAGTGAACTCTCCTGCCTCTGCCCTCCTTCCCCGCCTCCTCTGGTGCCTAGCGTCAGGTCTAGCCCCTTCCTCCTGGGTCCCAGTCCCTGTTCTGTGGCTGGCTGCCCGCCCGCCTGGCGCTGGACTTTTCATGCAACGGCAATCAGTGTACATGTTCTGGTCTGATCTGTTTCTACACTTAGTTTTGTTTCCACTAATATTTCCCTGTACCGGCAGAGTTCACAAACACATTTGAAGAGGCTTTTTCTCGGGATTCTTAACCTTCCCAAAGGAAGTCCCATGGATGGGTTTCTAGAAGTCTATAAATGCTCTGAAATTGTGTGTATTTTTCTGTGGAAAGCATAACTTTCATCTGCTTGTTCATCCTCAAAGAAGATCATGAATGAATGATTGCATGATTTTATGCCATTGTGCTCATACTAAAGGATATTTAGCCCATCTCTTGAGTTGTTAAACTGTTTTGACTATTTTAAATCGTGCAGCTGTGAGCATCTCTGTAAATTTAGTGTACATATATATCCCCGGAGTGGCATTGCCTGGGCAGTGAGCACTTACGCTTTTATAATTCTTCACAGACTCAAATGACTCCAGAAAGCTACACTTCCTCTTGTGAGTATATTATATCCATTTCCCTACATAGCTGCTAACATCACGTTTTTGCAATTTTGTTTATTTGTTGCTACTCGTAAGAATTTTTGCGGTGAAATACATATAATGGAAGTTTACCGTCTGAATCATTTTTAAGTATACTTTCAGTAGTATTAACTATGTTTCCATTGTTGTACAACCAATCTCCAGAACTTTTTCATCTTGCAAAACTGAAACTCTGTACCCATTAAATAACATTAAACATTCCATTCCCTCCAGCCCTGGCAACCACCATTCTTTCTACTTTCTGTGAGTTTGACTACTCCAGGCACTTCATATGAGTTAAATCATGAAGTATTTGTCTGTTTGTGACTGGCTTATTTTGCTGAACACAGTGTCCTCAAGATGCATCTATGTTGCAGCATGTGTCAGAACTTCCTTCCTTTTTAAAAGCCGAATAATATTGTATTTTATATCATATTTTGTTTATCCATTCATCCATTAGTGGACACTTGGGTTGCTT